GTGTACGGTTCCTAAAATGGCTGCCATATACACGTCCACTGATAGGAGACGCGGAAGGTATTAAACTGATCAGAACAATACTAAACACACCACAAAAAAGGTTTCTCTCCTGTATGGCTCCTCAAATGATGCTTAAGATTAGAAGCGGCTGAAAAGCATTTCTCACACTCCGAACAAAAATATATTTTTTTAACATTCTCTCCACTTTGAGCGAAATGACGTTTGGGAAGAGATTAACATAATTAAACACAGGCAGTAAAAATACAGTTTTTAGCCATACCCTGTAACATTAAAACTACACATCCCATCTTCATAATTACATATTTGGAATCAGCACACTTAAAACATAAACATAACCAAAAAATCAGCCAAATCCATCCAGGGGTTAAGAAGTTAGCTGTAGGTCCCTTTATGACCGACTGCAAGCACATTTTCCTGCCCAAAACAGTTCCATAGATTTGGGCTGTGAGGTCGGTCTATTTCAGGCTGAAAAATCGACTAAGTCCCATCGCCGAATGGGACTTAGTCTCTGCAGCTGAAATAAGGCTGAAAAAAACGGCTGAAAAAAAGACTAAGTCCCATCGCCGAATGGGACTTAGTCTCTGCAACTGAAATAAGGCTGAAAAAAACGGCTGAAAAAAAGAGTAAGTCCCATCGCCGAATGGGACTTAGTCTCTGCAGCTGAAATAATTTCCCATTTACTGAACCAAGTGGGAAATAGCCAGGCAGGCACAAAGGGTTTGCACCAGGTCTGAGGACACAGGGGACACCGTCTTAAAGGGGCCGTGTCCCCAACAAGTCTGGGGACACGGCCTTAAAGGGGCAGTGTCCCAATCTTCCTGATGTCCCAAAAAAGGTGTTTAAAGGGCCAGCACCAGTCACATAAAGAGTCCATAAGCCCCAATATGCCCACGACAGTCTTAAAGGGCCATACACACCAAATAAAAGTGCATACATTTTCACAATCTCCCAGGGGCCATAGTCATGCGGGAGGAGGCTGGCAAATAGGCTTCTCCACAACCCAGGGAAGCAGGGCAATTTGCCATTTAAAGGGCCCGTTACAAATAGCAGTTTGTAACAAGGTGTCAATCCATATCTGCCAAGTGACCCGATGTAGGGGTACCAGTCCCTATTCTGCTCTGTGTCAGTGTGTATCAGGTCTCTGAGGACAGGTGTCAATCCATATCTGCCAAGTGACCCGATGTAGGAGAAACAGTCCTATTCTGCTCTGTGTCAGTGTGTATCAGGGATCCTTAGGACAGGTGTCAATCCATATCTGCCAAGTGACCCTATGTAGGGGGACCAGTCTCTATTCTGCTCTGTGTCCGTGTGCATCAGGGGCTCTGAGGACAGGTGTCAATCCATATGTCAAGGTGTCAATATGTCATATGTCAGGTGTCAATCCATATTGATTGTGATTTAGGAATGTTAGGTGATTTCTACCCTTTATGGATTAAAACCAGACTCTGTATCAACTGTGTAATTTTCCATGGGAGTTTTGCCATGGATCCCCCTCCGGCATGCCACAGTCCAGGTGTTAGTCCCCTTGAAACAACTTTTCCATCCCTATTGTGGCCAGAAGAGTCCCTGTGTGTTTTAAAATTCGCCTCCCCATTGAAGTCAATGGCGTTTCGGGCGGTTCGCCGGTTCGCGAACATTTGCGGAAGTTCGCGTTCGCCGTTCGCGAACCGAAAATTTCGGGTTCGCGACATCACTAATGTTTGTATGTGGTGTTAGCGTTTCAATGCAAGCATGCATTTATGTGTAGTGTTTGCTTTAGAATGCACGGGTGTGTTTATATATTTTTGGTGTTCATCACAAAGGTGTGTTTCTATGTAGTGTTGAGGTTTGAATGCAGGGCTGTACTTGTGTGTAGTGTTGGCGATTTGAATGATGAGACGTATGCACATGTACACATACACTGCCACACAGAAACACAAATACATACAATAAGAGCTTCACTCTTTCTGGGAGGAAGTTACTCACGGTAGTCACTTCTTCCCAGTCTGCTGCCATAAAGCAAGGGGGCCTGGTTGGGCTGTTAAAGGGCCTCAGCGCCCAACCAGGCCCCCTTAGTGTGTGTGTGTGCCCCCAGTGCAGCACCGGTGAACCCATGGGGCAAATAAAAAGAAATAAAAAAATAAAAATCATTTTTGCTGACAGCAGGGCCCACAGGGCAGCTGCTTTTGGCCCCCCTTGAGTAACTGTGCCCGGGCAGCTGCCCCGTTTGCCCCCCCCCTTTAAAGACAGCACTGACTATATGCAGGTTTGTAAATAACTAAATAAAATATATTACAGTCATTTCTTTTCTGAAGATGGTGGGATTGGGAAGTACTTGATAATTCTGTGCCTACAGGTGCTCAAATTTCCATTTAAGACAATTACAATTGACAAATAAATTTGCAATTGATTGGAAAAGATAAAGTAGTGAATTTATAAAATTTTAGTATCTTAGAATTATCAAACATAGCACCCATCTGAGTGATACAACCTGCCCTGTCTTTTTTTTGTCTACTAATATCTAATTATCAAACATCTCGGTCAGGGCCGGATTAAGAGCACAGTGGGCCTGGTGCTGACAATTATGATGGGCCTAATTACGGAATCTTATCGACCAAAAACACTAAAACAGTCATACCTCCCAAGCGTCATGTATCTGATGGAGATGGTGCTGGAGGGAAACTCATAGAATGCAGCTATAAGAAAACACATACTCTATGCTAATTTCTCTCTAATTTATGCTTTCATCTTTCAAGTAAATCCATAACCCCTAACAGCAGTGTCCAGTGAAGCAGGAAG